CTTTGTATATCTGACTTTCCAATAAGAAAATAAAATAGATCTTTAAAAAAAGAGAGAGAGAGATAAATTAAACTTTAAAATTTAATTCAGAGTGAGTAGATTTTTAAAAAAGATTCATTTGTTTTTATTGGAAAGGCAGATTTACAGAAAAGAGAGGGAGCAAGATTTTCCATCCATTGGTTCAGTCCCAAAATGACACTGAGCTGATCTATTGGTTCACTCCCAAAATGGCGCAGAGACGATCCAAAACTAGAAGCTTCTTTTAGGTTTCCCATGCAGGTGCAGAATCCTAAGGACTCGAGCTGTCCTCTTCTGCTTGCCCAAGCCAGGTCATAAGTAGGGAGCTGGATGGGAAGTGGAGCAGCCTGGACATAAAGGAACAACGATATGGGATGCCTGCGCTTGGAGATGGAGGATTAGCTAGTTAAGCCATCATGTTGGTCCCTCGCAGAAATTTGAAATTTATACATAGGAGTGGTTTTCAAAAAGTACATAATTGTAAGACCTGTACACTGAGTATTTTAAAATTAATCTCTTATTTGCATTTATATGATAACTGTGTTCAATATTTCCAAGGTATTTAAACAAAATAATAACTTTATTTTGTTACCTGAGGCTCTCTCCTCTACCATGTTCCTGACAAATGTCATAGCTGGATATTCAGGCTGTCAGGACTCTTTCAGTCAATCTGAATTCGGGAGAAGTGCTTAAGCTCGGTTTCCCCAGGTGAAAAGTCAGGTGGAGGTAGGGATTTCATTTACCTCTTAACGACATTCTGAGAAATAAACGGAATAACGCACATCACATCCCTAGCATAGCGTGTAGTGCTGAAATTGTGATCATTGTCAGTAACTTAGAGCAGCAGTTAGTAGCAGGAGATTATTAAGAAATAGGTGAGAATAAGGTTTTTATGTAGCTGAGAATTGTATAATATTTGATATTATTGTTACAATAAATATTTATTTGACATGATATTCAGTAAATATTATATAATATATAATAAATATTTGTTTTTTTAAAGTAAGTGAGAATTGGGAAAAAGCATAACATTTTTTTGTCTCGGTTTTGTCAAATTAGGCAAATGGATACTGGATACCCGTTCAAGGTGATTGGGTAATTCCAGAATTTATTGCTAGAAACTTTGGAGAGGCTTGCTTACAGATAAGCTGGTTAGGTTACATAAGTGCTCCCCAAAGAACAAGAGTCAGTCTTGTAATGAGAAGCTCATATTTAAGGCCAAATTTCTAACCAGTGGCATCTCATGATGCTCAAATCAAACTATTCAACATTTTTTTCTTTACTAATTTTATTTATTTGCCAAGTAGAGAGTGAGACGGGCAGGGAAATCCCTTTCATCCACTGATTCACTCCCAGGTGCCTGTAACAGGGGTGGTTGGCTCAGGACAAAATCAGGAGCCAGGAAGTCCAACAGGGCAGCCCAGCGGATGGCAGAGCTCTGCGAATGTGTGGCATCATCCGCTGCTGTCCATGGAGAGTACTGGCAGGAAGTCGGACTCTCAGCTGTCTGGGACTAGAATCCAGGCACTTTGATAAGGGATGTGGGCCCCCCAAGGGGCATTCTATTGGCTAAACCTCTACCCCAAATCCCACCTTCAATTTGGGTAACAGAATCTGCTGGAAATCACGTGTTCTCCTCCCATTAGGTTCATCTGCTAGTATTTCCCTTTTGAGAGTGGCAGGAACTTATTTTTGAAGACTAATGTCTTAGGATAAAGGAAACACTCATAAAAATGATTAGTTATAGAATATTGATTGTGAGATGTAGAAGATTTAAAATCTTGAGCTTTACTCGTCGCCTCTAAAAATAAACTTGGGGTAACTCCTTGGCCTGCTGTCTGTACCAGACCAGTGAATCTCGCCTGGGAGTACTCCCAAGTAAGCTTGTTTTAAGCTGAATAAAAGGCCCCAGCGGTGTGGCCTAGTGGCTAATGTCCTTGCCTTGAACGTGCCAGGATTCCATATGTGCACAGGTTCTAATCCCGGCAGCTCCATTTCCCTTTCAGCTCCCTGCTTGTGCCTGGGAAAAGCAGGTGAGGATGGCCTAAAACTTTAGGACCCTGCACCCGTGGGGGTCCCGGCTTTGGACCGGTTGTTGCGGTCACTTGGGGAGTGAATCATCAGACGGAAGCTCTTCCTCTCTGTCTCTCCGCCTCTCTGTATATCTGACTTTGTAATAAATCTTAAAAAAAAAATCTTTAAAAAAAATCTGGGCCTGGCGCGATAGCGTGGTGGTTAAAGTCCTCGCCTTGAACATGCCAGGATCTCATATGGGCACTGGTTCTAATCGCAGCAGCTCCACTTCTCATCCAGCTCCCTGCCTGTGGCCTGGGAAGGCAGTCAAGGACAGCCCAAAGCCTTGGGACCCTGCACCCACGTGGGAGATCCGGAAAGAAATTCCTGGCTCCTGGCTTCGGATTGGCGTAGCACCAGCTGTTACGACCACTTGGGGAGTAAGCCATCAGATGAAAGACCTTCCTCACTGTCTCTCCTCCTCTCTGTACATCTGCCTTTCCAATTAAATAAAAAAAAAAAAAGCAACAGCAACAAAAAAATAAACGAATAAAATTTGGGCCCGACACCATGGCTCACCTTGCATGTGGGATTCCATATGGGATCCTGGTTTCTGTCCCAGCTGCTCCACTTCCTATCCAGCTCCCTGCTCGTGGCCTGAGGAAGCAGCCGAGGATGACCTAGTGGCTTAGGACCCTGCACCCGCGTGGGAGGCTCAGGAGAAGCTCCTGGTTCCTGGCTTCAGATCCACTCAGCTCCAGCAGTTGTGGCCGCTTGGGGAGTGAACCAGCAGACATGAGATCTTGCTATGTCTCTGCAAATTCCCCTTTCCAACAAAAATAAATAAATCTTAAAAAAAATGTAAAACTTTTCTGAGTAATCAAAGTTTCAGAAAGGCAGAAAGGGGAGAAAGAAATAAAAAATATTTATAAGATTGTTTCATTTTCCCCCAAACAGTTCCTTAATTCATTTTTACGTTATCTTGAGAGGTGAATTTTATGAAGAATTTAAACAATTCTTGTAATTTCACAGCTTGGCAATTCTCTAGGCATAGTTTTACTTTCCAATATTCTTATTGTAATAATTCCTAATGGTCATGCAGATCTATTTTAGAATTCAGCGGTCTGCAACAGAGGAGTAAAATAACGGAAGGTAAGCCTATTCCACCCCCAGCCTACGACTGCGTTACTCAGCCTCAAGCGCTCCACTTTCCTAACGACATACATGTTTTTTTAAAAGATTTTTTAAGAAAAAATTCAGAAATTACAAAGAGAGGGAGAGGCAGAGATCTTCCATCTGACGTTTCTCTCCCTAAAGAGCCACAATGGTCAATTCTGAACTAAACAGAAGGAGCCCAGAGCTGCTTCTGGGTCAACAGCTTGGGAGCAGGGGTTAAAGTAAGGGGCATTTCCAAATGGCAGCGGTGCTACTTGCAGATGCTGTGTGTGGGGAGGGGGTGAGAGTGTATGGCCAGCAGCTCCTTATCTTTTCTCTTGGTAGCAGTCACAGTAGCCAGAACCAGAAGGAGGAATGAGACGATGGGGCAGGTGGAGACTGGGCCTGAAGCTACAGAGAAATAACGCACTTTGAGGAACAGGGGAGCATTTAGAAGCAAGAAAACCTGAAATCAGCTTGCTGAAACGTGCCTGTCCGACTCTCTTTTCTCTGTGAAGGAATCCATTCAGGATGAGCTCAGAAATTGACTACATTCAGCCATTCTTATTTAATGTAAGAAACTTGGTAATTGGCTGACATCTGTAGGAGCACCTAGATCAAGAGTTGATCAAGCACCTCACAGTGGAGTTAAGACTAAGTTAACGACGGGCACTAGCACTTATGGAGGTGTGAACCTGATAAGTCATTTCACCTCTGAAACGATGTCATCACCTGTGAGAGAAACTACTTGCCTAGCAAGATGTTGCTGAGATTAGAGTTGTTCATAGCACCTGCCACAAAAGAGATGCGTCTTCTATTTTGTGAGGGGTGTTAAAAACCACGATAAAGTGTTTCTAAATACACTTGAATATACACAGACACTGGATCACCTTCATGGAGCTGACGTCTTTTCCTCCCATCACTGTACCTTACAGAAAACACACACACTTACGTTGCTCTAAAACGTTTTTTTTTTAAAAATTATTCAGCACATTTTACTAATGCCACAGTCACCAAAGCCTTTGAATTGTCGGATGCTACTGGGCAATTAAGTTGATACTCAAAAAAGTGAGGCCCGCCCAGCGTCTTCGCGCTGCAGTCTCAGGATTTAACCCCCTCTGCAAAGCACCCGTCGTCACGGGAATTTCTCGCCCGGGAAAGGCGCGCAACACCATCATGTGACAGCCCAACGTGTCTCCTGGGCTTGTTCTGCCACCCGAGTGGATGTGCCCGCGCGAGGAAACGCATTCCGCCTCACGTTCAACAGAAGAGCCTCGATTCCCCAGGGAAGAAGGACGGCGACTGCAGCGAGCCGGACCTAGGGAACAGGGGAGACACCAGCCCAGCCCATCCAAGCCCAACTTGGCCGGTCCACAACAGCTCCCCCCCGGAAGTTTGAGTCTCCAGTTAGGAGGTCTGGGAATCACCTTGAGCCTCCCCGAGACGTGGGGAAAGTTAGCCCTGATCGGAGGCAGGGTGGGTGAAACCAAAAAGAGTTCACTTTCACGAGCAGCTTAGCCGCACGTTTCCCCGTTTTCAGGGTGGCGTTAGACCGGGTGAGTTTAAGGGTGGCAGGAGCAGGTGGCCGGACTCCGCCCACCACCACGCTTCCCCCTCCTTCGGATCGCACGCTTCTCTCCCTTCAGTGAGGTCCCGCCTCCTGGGCGCGCGCGAAGAGTTGGGGCGAGACGCATTCTGGGGATTGTAGTCCCGGCGCAGGGAGTTACTTAAGGAGAAGCAACTCTGGCCTACATTCCCCATGGTGCCATGCGGCATTCACCGCTCCCGGATGTGTCCCTAGCGCCGGAAGAGAAGACGGCCCCCCTCTCTCGGCCCGGCCATCTTGTGGGAAGAGCTGAAGCAGGCGCTCCTGGCTCGGCGCGGCCCGCTGCAATCCGTGGAGGAACGCGCCGCCGAGCCACCATCATGCCTGGGCACCTACAGGAAGGCTTCGGCTGCGTGGTCACCAACCGATTCGACCAGTTATTTGACGACGAATCGGACCCTTTCGAGGTGCTGAAGGCAGCAGAGAACAAGAAAAAAGAAGCCGGCGGGGGCGGCGTTGGGGGCCCGGGGGCCAAGAGCGCAGCTCAGGCCGCGGCCCAGACCAACTCCAACGCGGCAGGCAAACAGCTGCGTAAAGAGTCCCAGAAAGACCGCAAAAACCCGCTGCCTCCCAATGTTGGCGTGGCTGACAAGAAAGAGGAGACGCAGCCGCCCGTGGCGCTCAAGAAAGAAGGTAAAGCCGGGGGTGCGAAGGTGAAGGAGAAACGGGGATGGAGGGAGAGGAGCGTGGAGACCTGGGGCTGCCACTTTGCTTCGGAAGCTCCAGGGGTTCGCGGGAGACTTTTGCCGCCTGTTTTGCTCGCGCGACCCAAAGCAGGGCTCGGAGAAGGTGCCGGGAGCATGGTGGCCCCAAGTTCAAGGCTCCGCCTGCACCGTTCCCGCCCTGGGCTCTCGGAGCGGAGGGAGCGAGGTCGGGCTGAGCTGCCGCCGCCGTGCTGGAGCCGGGCAGGAGCGCGCCCGGGGCTGGGAGGCTCTTCCCGCCCGAGTCCTTGGCGGGAGAGCGCCTGCACGGGTCGAGGTGCGGGGCGGCGGGCCGCTTGCTGGAGTTCCCGGGACTCCGGGGAGGACGAGCGCGTGCACCTTGCCGGTGCGGTGCCCCCTGAGCAGCCCTGCCCTGCCATCTTGTCCCACGATGGCGCGGACCACCCTGGGCTCGGAGCTTGCACGTGAGCGGTGCCTGGGCAGGAGGCTGCGTCGGAGCTTGGCTCTCGTGGCATAAGCCGCTGTTTTTGGGGGTGGGGGGGAAAGCCACGTGGGCTTTATTGTCGTCCCGACCCCTTCCACCGCCAGAATCGTGGTGTAACTTGTAGGGAGTGAAATGAGATGTGCGCCCGGAGAGGAGCGTGGCCGCCGACTGTCCAGCAGAAGCGGGAATTTTGCATGAAGGTAGTGGTTATGGCAGGAAGTCCCGAGGTCCCCCCGGCCCCCCGTGCTGGGTCATTTGGGAGCCCGGGCCTGGGCCCCGGCCTCGTGGCTGCAGGGAGTGCAGAGGCTGTCAGCGTGAGCCGCGGCAGGTTGCAAAAGTGCAGGCTTTCTCCGCCCGAGCGTGCGGCGTGGCCGGCATCTCCGTGGCGGCCAGGAAGCGCTCTCGGTGCACTGTGGATCGGCGCAGGAGGGTCTTGACTTTAGGGTCCTCAGTCAGTGCTGCTTGTGGATGAAAAATTAAAATTTAGGATTAAGAAAGTGTGTGAAATCTTGGGAAAGTTGGCCTTTATACAGAGCTAAAATGCTGCCTCCCTGCCACGTGCTTCGGAAAGGAGATACCTCTCATTAGCATGTAGCTGCATCTGTAGCATTCAGTTTTAATTTTAAAAAATCGGAATAATTTACTGTGAAAGGGTTTTTTGGTAGCTTTTGTGAAGCTTAGCGTGAAGAACCTAAAACCGGTTTGACAATCCTTGAGCGAAAACTCAGTTTACAGAAAAATGTAGTTCAATTATCAACACGTGTACATCAATTTCTCCGTTGACTAACAAAGGTTTGTGTAATTATTTAAGTTATGCTTGAGTTTACCTTGATCATACTGATCCAAAGAAAAGTGCTTGAGGAAAGAAAGCGAAATTAAAGTGGAAAGTCTGCAAAGTACCAGGTAGATGTGTTCTCACTGTTGAATGGTTTCAGTGCCTTAGCTGTCTGAACATGAAGCTCCTTTATGAAGTGAGGTCCTAACTGGAAATTAGTCTTGCAAGATACATGCTAGAGAATTATTTCATAAGTTTGTAACTTGGACTGAGTTTGCCATTCAGAGATGGGCTTTCCTCGAGGAGACGATTTCTTATGAGCCAGCAGCATTTTCCTAACCTGAAGTTGCATGAAACACGTGTTATAAACACAAACGGAAATTAAAATACTTTTGAGATCCTGCCACCTGCTGGGTCAGTGTTCTTTAAGTATTGGTAGGTCTGTGAGCAAGGTCCTTGGCTTTCTTGGTTTTGCTTTATTTTTGATGGAGGCTGTAGGCTCGTGGACCACTGATTAGGGTGGGAAGGGTCAAGGTGTGGGGGAATGTGGATGAGACTGTTGCTTTCAGTTTGTTTTTCCTTCCTGTGTCGGGGGAGGGGAGGGGAGGAGGCCCCTCCCAGCAGCCTAGGCCCAGGACTAGGTCCCTGACTCTTCACTGTGGGAAGTTGTGATTCCTGTGTGGTCTTGGCTGTTGATAATTGGTTCTGACATTGGTGCTAGACATTCTTTGACTAGGTAGATGTGTGGTGTTGGTCTGGTGGTTTAAGAACTGGAGAGCAGGTCCCTTGGGGTGTAGATAACTTTCTTTTGTAGTATTGTAATAACCTGGTATGTAGTGCAGTTGATAGGATTGCAGGCATGTAAAAATAGCAAAAGAAAATTGGATTTTAAAAAATGGGTTGTTTCATTAGATGAGCTTAGTGAACTTTTAAGATTCTGCAAGTCAAATTGGGTGGGGAAGCAAGTCATTCATTGTTAGTTGGGTGTGTTCGGCTTGGATATCAAAAGGATTGGTTCTACAGCCACACCCCAATGTGCTATGCCTCTGATGAAATGTATTTAAGTGCCTCAGTGTAAGATCTCTTCTGATATTTGTGGTCTGTCCTGAGTTTACAGGGAATGAACCTGCACGTTTTATTAATCAAATTGATAATTTACTGTTTGACTTTAGCTACAGGCTGCTGAACTGATTGGGTGTGTCCTGATGTCCCACTTTCTTAGAAAGAACCTGACAGAAACAGTGATCTTGTAAAACTAATTTCTCAGATGCTTATGAAACCAATTTGTTAGCTGCTTTTTAACTGAGAAATTATGATTTGGGAATTTCCAAATACCTGAAATTTCGGTCCTGAACTTAACATCAATCTGTTTATCCTGAGAGCATCAGTAATTCCTGTCGGGCTATCTTTGTGGACCTCCGGTAGCAATAGGAAAAAAAAAACAGTGAAGGGAGAAATGGAGAAATCACTAATTCAACTATTAGTGCCATTATTTCCTATTTTAGATACTGCTTTTGTGTGCATATGTGTTTTTTTCAAGATTTGAAAACAAAGATATTTGTAGGAGTAAATCTAAAAATTGATTTTTTTACAATCTTTCCTGCACTCATATTGATGTGTAGTAAATGAGTTTTCTAATGGTTACAGAGTAGTTTTTTCTAGTTAGGTGTGAATGCAGGTGTGTTTGTGTGCTTTCATTTACTAAGTATTGATTATGCAGTAGAGGGTAATGCTTTTCTGGTTAAATGGCAATTTTACATTGTGAAGGATGTTTTAAATTTTTGTCTTTTTTCCTTTGTGTAATTTCATAGAATTAGGAGTGTTGTTAAGTTTTTCTTCAGGTTATGTGAAATAAAATGATATGGTCATAATTTCAGTAAGTGCTCATCTGGTTATTTATGAGTAGCTGTTTGTATTATTTTCTTTGATACTCTAGAGCCAAAATGTATTGCTTGTCTACAGTTTCTTTATCAAGAGACTGACATCTTAAAAACTAAAGCAAGAATGACTCTCTAAATAATTTCACAGCAATTAGAGAGACTGCTTCAGTGTAGGGCCATAGCTTGGGAAGCTGAACAGAAACTGACAACACACTAAGAATTTCCCTCCAGGACTTTGTCAGGCCTTGGGAATAGTTAGTGTGCGGTTTCCTGTTTCCTACTGGAGGTGCTAGTTAGAGGACTGTAAAGGTAGTACCACATTTTCATTTGGACGATTTAGAGCTAAACTTTTTGTGTGTCAGAAACAATTTACTTTTGTGGGTTATTTAACCTTCTAGGAATAAGACGTGTAGGAAGACGACCTGATCAACAACTTCAGGGTGAAGGGAAAATAATTGATAGAAGACCAGAAAGGCGACCACCTCGTGAACGAAGATTTGAAAAGCCACTTGAAGAAAAGGGTGAAGGAGGCGAGTTTTCAGTTGATCGGTGAGATTTCTGTTTTTAGAAAATCTTTACTGATTGTCAGTTCATAGTTGATATTAAGACAAAATTGTGAATTGGGCATCATGCTGGGCAGCAGTGGGACTGATGACATTTACTGGGTTTTCTTGGATTTTTCAAACTGAGATCTATGTAATGAAACACTTCAGTTGAGTTGCTGACCAGTTTCTTTGCTTTCCCTCCGCCCCTGAAAGGAAAGTGATGATGCTTTATAGCAAAACAAGTTACTAAAGATGCAGGTTAGATGTGGTTAGTTGGTTTTTTAAAGTATATTGGTAAATAATAGTTTTGCTTGGCTTTAATATAAATAATGAAAATATTTGTGGCCTAGTAGTGATATTTTGGAACAGGGTTGGAGACTATCTAACACATGGGCGTAGGAAAGCATAAGAAATTCAGTTGGTCTGCACTGGGCTAATATTAAAACCTAATATTACCTGTGGCCCACAGATGATGTTACAAACAAGTCGTTGGCAGTAAGGTTTCCTGCCTTTGTGGGGATTCCAAAAGCAATGTTCTTGTTTGGGGGATGGAACCCTCCTAGCTCAGATTTCCTTTTTCTGTTAGAAATAGAATTTCCTAAAACAAGTACTTGTGTTTAACTGTTGGTAGGAGCCAGTAAATATGTTTTTGAACGTTTGAATGAATTTTCTTGTTTTTTTGGAAGCTATGAAGTCTTTTAATTTTTTAATTTGTATTGTAGGCCTATAATTGATCGACCTATTCGAGGCCGTGGTGGTCTTGGAAGAGGTCGAGGAGGCCGTGGACGTGGAATGGGCCGAGGAGACGGATTTGATTCTCGTGGCAAACGTGAATTTGATAGGCATAGTGGAAGTGATAGATCGTAAGTCTTATATTGGTTTTTATTTTATGTTTACATTTTAATGCATTTTATTTCATAAATAAAATTTGACTTTCTAGAACTAAAGAGTGTTATGTTAACTCAGTTTTGTTAGTTCTTTTTCCCATTACAGTGGTCTGAAACATGAGGACAAACGCGGAGGGAGCGGATCTCACAACTGGGGAACTGTCAAAGATGAACTCACGTTGGTATTCTGATTGTTTGCAGTTTTTAAAGTTTAGCATTTTAGAGGCTTAGTTAAACGTTTATTAAATTTGGTTCCTGAGACAAAATACTGTACTAAAAGATAATGTCTTAAGAGATGTATATGGGCTATAGTGTATCAAAATGACTGATTATTCAGTACATTATAGCTTTTCCTGGAATTTTACCTGGAGATTATTAGTGGTTCTTGGTTTCTTTGTGTCTTAATAGTCCTTTTCCAGTTATTAGCATTTTGCTTCTTAAACTTGTAAGTCTGCTACGAAGAACTCTTTGGCTACATGTAAATGGACCTAGATGCTTTTCTTTTTCTTTCTTTCCTTAGAGAGTCCCCCAAATACATTCAGAAACAAATATCTTATAATTGCAGTGATTTGGATCAATCAAATGTGACTGAGGAAACACCTGAAGGGGAAGAACACCCAGTGGCAGACACTGAAAATAAGTAAGTTCCTTAGCGCGTGCTGGTAATGCTTCAGCTGTGGAACTGACTTGGGTTGTTACTAGGAAGACAACTGAAGATTTGATAGATTTTGAACCAATTAGGCCAGAATATTTAAGGGATTCAAATGCTATTTAGAAGGATATATGATTAATAATTTACATAATTAAAAATTAAAAAGGAACATTCTGATGTAGTTATTTATTTTGTCATTTGACTGTTACCATGCATATAAAAAGTTAAGGATTATGTGTATTAGAGTAAAACCTGTTAGCTGTAGTAGAGAATGGGGAATAAGATGACATGTATTTGATCCGATTACTTTTTGTACTGATATATCAAATTGGTGGGAACTGGAAAATAATTAGATTCTAAAAAATTATGACCAAGTTGTTACAATTTCTGGCATAAAGAACTTTGACAGTTGTTTGGGGTGCCATGCGTCCCTGACTTGATAGGTCATGTTTAAAATGCACACACATTTCTAGCCAGTCAGTAGCCATGTGTAGTTGACAGGAGACAGGGTAGGAGATAGAACAAGAAATTAGTTTTATCTGTTTTCCTCCATTGACGTTAGAATTTGGGACATAACATTACCTGAGAAAATGTTATCAGGAACCCCAAAGATCAAAATATGTAACTAGCTCACTAATTTAACCACTTTTTTAGTTAGGCAGATGACTTTAATAGTTTTTATTTTTCCAAAGTAGGCATATTTGTTTTATAAAGTTTCAACTTAACCTGATAGAGATCACTTAAACACTTTACTGTGGTTTTCATCTACCTAGGCAGAAGCTACTTGTCAGTCTTAAACATTGATTTAAGGGCTCAGATTATATAGATTATTTGGGGTAGTGATCTTGTTCTAGGCTTTTTATGTTTGACACACGTATGGGGTGCTATCAGATTGGGGTGATTGGCATATCCAGCACATTATTTCCTTGTGTTGTATATTTGTAAATACAATTTTGTCAACCCTAGTGGAACGTTGGAATTTACTCCTTCTGTACCTGTTGGCCAGCCGTTCTCTGTCGTCCCTCGGCCTCTGGAAACCACTGTTCTTCTCCACTTCTGTGAGATCAGCTTTTTTTTTAGCTTTCACATCTAAGTCAGAATGAGAATATTTTTCTGTCCCTGACTTTTTTTTTTTAATTATTTATTTGAAAGGTGGAACTACTCAGAGAGATGGAGAGATCCTAATGCCCTGATTTACCCCACAAATGACCACAACAGCTAGAACTGGGCAGTTCTGGTGTTAGGAGCCTGAAACTTCTTCCAGATCTTTCTCCATTGCTTTTCCCGGCCTTTAGCGGAGAGCTGAGGGAAGTGGAGCCTGTGGGACTAAAGTTGGTGTTCATGTGGGATGCTAACAGCACAGGCACTGGCTTATCCTGCTATATGCCACAGCAGTGACCTCCCTGGTTGAGTAATGTTTTGTTGATTCCAAACCATGCTTTCTTGTTCCATTCATTTGTTGATGGGAATATAATGATTCCATAACTTGCCTGTTGGGGGTAGTGTGCAGCAGCAAACAAGAGGGTATGGCTCTAAAGTATACTGACTTGATACATGCTGAGTACTGGCATTGGTGAACTCTATGGAGTTCTTTAGTTAAGAGGTACCTACATACTAATTGGTATTCCCAATACTTTGTGTGAACTCCCCATGTTTTGGATTCTCATCAGTATTTGTATTTTTTGTCCTTAGATGGTAGATACTCTGACTGGGATTAGATGATGTCTCATAATTTTTGATTTACATTTATTGTTGTTCGGCATTTTTCATGAAATAATTTACTGGTTTGGTTAATGCCTTATCAGTTAGGTAGTTTACCAGTATTTCTCTCATTTATATGTTTTATTTCTTTGAAAGTTGGCAGGGGGAGGAGCACAATGACTGAATTGGCTATATGGGATGTCTACTTGTGTCCTGGCTGTTCCACCACCCACTTGTGGCCTGGGAAAGTAGCAGTGGGTAGCCCAAAGCCTTGGGACCCTGCACCTACATGTGAAATCTGGAAAAACCTCCTGGCTTCAGATCAGCTCAGCTCCAGCCATTGTGGCCATTAGAGTAAACCTCAGCCAACGGAAGATCTCTTTCCTACTCTCTGTAAATCTGCCTCTCAAAAACAAACTCTTAAAGTCAGAATTGGGTAGGGGTGGACGAAAGGGATCTTCCACCAGGTGGTTCATTCAGCAAATGGTCCCATGCCACTGATGGCAGGGCAGAGCCAGAAGCCACAGATGGATCTCCCAAGTTGGTGTGGAAGAAGGGGCCAGGGAGTTGGGCATCCTGTGGCACATCACTGCAGGGCTGGACTAGAAGTGGAATAGTGGATCCTGGACTCCAGACCTGAGTGTACAGATAGGTTGCTGGCCTCTCCCAGTCTTCACTGTTGACTGTTGGCTTTGTGTGCACAAGTGTTCCATTTTGATGTAATCCTATTTTGCTTTTGCCATTGTTTTCATTGTAATATCCAAAATACTTTTTCCCAGATCAGTGTTCTAAAGTGCTTCCTGTTTTATTCTAGTAAAGTCAGTTTCAGGTCTTAACATTTAAGTCTGATCTCTTTTGAATTGATTTTGTGTGTATGGTGAGAGATGAGAATATAATTTTATTCTGAATACGGATACCCAATTTTCCCCACCAGCATTTATTGGAAGACTGTTCTTTCTGTATGAAGTAGGATCTTGGTACATTTAAAATCAGTTGGCTATAAATGCATGGATTTATCTGGGGGTTCCTTGCTTTAGTAGTAGTTATTTCTGTGTGGGAAGGATGTTATTTAAAAAGTTTGCCTGCTTTTCAAGGCTTAACGAGGCTGAAGCTTGAGCCCTGGAATTGCGTCTTGTTTCCCCATATGAATGGCAGGGGTCCAAACATTTTGAACTGTTATGTGCATCCCTCCCAGGATGCACTGCAAGGAAGCTAGGTCAGAAGGGGACTAGCTGGGAATTGAACCCATACTTGGGTGAGATGTTGATTCCCTGAGTGGTGGTTTAACATGCTGTGCCTTGACATCTAACCCATTCATTACTGTAGGAAGTTTTGAGGTAAAATTTGTCAAACAATAAAAGATGACACTGAAAGAGCTCTTTGAGTAACTAGGGCTAACCAGATCACTTGGTTTGGAAGCAGGCTCCCAAAATAGCAGGTAACTGGTGAAAGTTGGATATTGAAATTAGATGGAAATAATGGATTCCTAGGCCCCTGTGTTATTTTCTGTGAAAAGAATAAGGGATAATATTGACTAGTTAGTAACTTGAGAATTTTATTTGTAAATAACTGGATCGGTGTTAAATATTTAAGCCAGTATGTATAAGAAAGCTGATGTAAATGAATTCCAGTTTGGGGCTGGTGTTGTGGCAAGGCTAGTTAAGCACTGATTGTGATGCGAGCATCCTATTTGTGTGCTGCTTCGTGTTCCTGCTTCACTTAAATCCCTTTCCTTTCTAAATGTGCATAGGAAGACGGCCAAAAGTGGCTCAGGTAGTTGGGCCCTTGTCGCACCCACACAAGAGATCCAAAATGGAGTTAATATTAATGATAGCCTCCTGGCTTACAGGCTCCCCTGAGCTGGCTGTTGCAAAACATTTGGCAAGTGATGGAAGATCTCTTTTCTCACCCTTTCCCCCAAATCTCAGTCCTGACAACAAATGTGGCTTACCTGGCTAATATTCCACCTCCAACTGTTGGCATCCCATGTGAGTGCTAGTGTGTCCCGGCTACTCCACTTCCCATCCAACTCGCTGCTTGTGGTCTTGGAAAGCAGCAGAGGATGACCCAAGGCTTTAGCACCCTTCACCTACCTCTTCTGGGAGACCCGGAAGAAGCTCCTGGCCTCAACTTGGCTCTGGCTGTGTGTCCATTTGGGGAGTAACCAGTGACTGGAAGATGTTTCTCTCCTCTGCAAAACTGCCTTTGTGATCAGAATAAAATCTTAATAAATGTATTTTACAGAATTGGTAAAGCCAATTTAAGATTGTGTACTGCTAGTAATTTACTTAAGTTTAGGAAAAACCATTCTCAAGTTACCTATACTTTGATTAATTAACAAGTATGGAATTCTTGGTTTCTATTATGTTAGATATTAAGTTATAAACAGGGTGGTGATACTCCCATCCTTGAATAATGGTTATGTAAACATCAATCAGCCAAGACTAATTATAAATTGGAAATAACTATGTAAATCTTATAAGCCCTTTATCAGGTGTAAACTTAAGTGTCTTTTCACAGGGAAAACGAAGTGGAAGAGGTAAAGGAAGAGGGTCCAAAAGAAATGACTTTGGATGAGTGGAAGGCAATTCAGAATAAAGACCGGGCAAAAGTGGAATTTAATATCCGAAAACCAAACGAAGGTGCAGATGGGCAATGGAAAAAAGGATTTGTTCTTCATAAATCAAAGAGTGAAGAGGTAAAATCAAGTTTTGTAGTAGTATTTGAAAGTATTTAGATGCGACTCATAAAGTTGAAAATTGAATTAACAGTATGTATTTTAAGTAGATATTTTAAAGACTAAATGTTTTGTTAAAAAAACTATGTAGGATCATTTGAGACAAATTTTTCTAAAGGAATATAAAATATACATTTTGGCAATACATTTATTCACTTCTTTAATCTGTAAATGTATTGAAAATGGAAGTGTCTTTTAAAAACCAGTCAGTGGAATATCATAGGTATTGTTTAAGCAAAATACTAATTCTTTCCAAAGCTGTGGTTATAATTTCTAAGTCTTGCCTAATTGAATACTTTTTGGAATTGGGGACTGTTGCACCACAGTACCAGTCCCATCTTAGCTGAATCTTTAAAGGGACATTGTTAGGTTGTATCAGTGGCATTTTTAGATGGCTAAACCAAGAAGCAAAAGGGGCCTCTTCAATGATTCAATTTTTAAAAAATTTGAACGACAGGATTACAGATTCCATCTTCAATGCTGCAACAGCCAGAACTGGTCCTGGCCAGAGCCAGGAACCAGGACCTTCCTTTAGGTCTCCCATGTGCATAGAAGAGTCCCAAGTACTTGAGAGTCATCTTCCATTGCTTTCCCAGACAGAGCAGTAGGGAGCTGGATCTGAGGTGGGGCAGCCAGGATGCTTGTGCTCACACCTGCTATGGCATAACGCCAGGCCCTTTATAAAGCACTTCTTGTTACATCTTTGGAGTTGTTAGTGTCCCTGGTAAGGCAAAACAATTTATGATTGTAGAACCATGCAAGTTTGTCTTAGAATAATTATTCATTTTAAGTGATTATTGAACTGCCTATATTTGTAGATTCACCTAGGGTAAGACATTTTTGTTCTGCACTGTGGTTCTAATTGGATTTTCCGCCCCCAGAAATTTGATGTCTGTAAGATTCTGGTTGTAATTTTGGATGATTTAATACTATTCTGAAGTCTCCTTCTTTAAAAGATCTATGTATTTGAAAAGAAAAGCAGAGAGACATATTCCCTATGTTGATTCATTTCACAGTAGCCGTGACTGGACTAGGTGGAATCCTGGAGCCAAGAGTTTGATCCAGTTGGCCCGAGGGGTGGCAGGACTCGACTGCTTGAGTCCTCGTTCTCTGCTTTCCGAGGGGCATTAGCAGGGAGCCAAGTCAGGCACGGTGGCCAGGGCATGACCTGGCAGGGATGTGAGCGTCCCAAGCAGCAGCTTGCTGCACTGCACCATAATGTTCACCCAGTGCCCGGAATGCTCCCTAGAACTTAGGTTAGGTATCCTGATTTTGTACACTGAACTTTGACAGTAGTGATGGTGTTTTTCTCATCCATTGTTTTGATTGCTATAGTTTAAATCACCTGTAGTCAAATAGCTTAAAAAAATGCTAAATGGAAAATATAAGAACTATTACACTACAGCAAGTTTAAATTGTAATGAAGCTTAAATTCATTATCAAGAGCTTGAGCAAATCTCATGCTCTCCTGCTTTGTTCCCTCTAATGTGAATCATTCCTTGGGCTAACCTGTCCACGCTGGTAGACACTAAGGTGCCCTGTATATAGTAACATGCAGCATTGCTTGTTATTGGTGGGTCCTGACAGCTGCTAGGGAAGGCTTAGCACATATTCCCTCTGGAGGAGTGGAGACTGTGATGTTCAAGGTAATTTTTATTATTAAAGCAGTTTGAAGATGCTAAGTTGTGAAATTGGTTATGAAACTAGAATGTTTTCAGACTTCTGAATTTAAGTTTTGCTTTGAAGCTCTCTAGATAAGCTGGAGGTAGGAGAACTTAATATAAGTTGGGTATCTTTCATCTGGATTTCCTTTAAGACCAGATTTTTTTGGTAATATTTATTTATTTTTATTGGGAAGTCAGACTTGCAGAGCAGAGACAGAAAGATCTTCCACCTGCTGGTCCATTTGCCAAGTGGCCACAACAGCCAGAACTGAGCCAATGCAAAGCCTGGAGCCAGCAACCTCCGGGTCTCCCACTTGGGTGCAGGCTCCCAAGGCTTTGGGCTGTCCTGGACTGCTTTCCCAGACCACAAGCAGGGAACTGGATGGGAAGTGGAGCAGTGGGGACAGGCTTCTCTTGCATAAGGGATGCCAGCGCTTGCAAGTGAGTATTTACGATTTTGTATCATTCCCTATTAACCAGTGGCCTTCACTTGACATTCTAGGCTCATGCTGAAGATTCGGTTATGGACCATCATTTCCGGAAGCCAGCAAATGATATAACATCTCAGCTGGAGATCAACTTTGGAGACCTAGGCCGCCCAGGACGTGGTGGCAGGGGAGGGCGAGGTGGACGTGGGCGTGGTGGACGTCCAAATCGTGGCAGCAGGACTGACAAGGTAGTTTTTGACTTCTTTTTCTAAGTGATTGTAGAGACCTTTTATGGTAAATCAGTGGTTAATTTTTTTGAGGATGTAAAAAGTAGAAAACATAACCATGCCTTCTAGAAATTTCATTTTAGATTATAATTTTGTTTGACTAACACAAATGAGTTATTGCTACACTTTATGAATCTTTTTCGATGGTACTGTACTAGGGATGTAGATTCCCTATGTTGTTACTATGTTGAGATGCCCATTTGTAGAGGAAATCGCATCAACTCTGCCTTTCTTTGTAAGATCTGCCTGGATACCAGTCTGTTCCTTTTGCTTGAAGGACATTATATGTAATGTCCGGCCCTGGTAAATGCATTTATCCTTTTGAGCACCTAAAGAATAGTTATCAGTAAAATACTTTGGTCTGCTTTCAGTGACCATGTCTAAGCCAAAGTATTAACTTTTCATTAACTCTAACTTGAGCAATTTTTTCTTATGGTTCAGCTTGGAAAATCCTCTTGAATTGTCAGTACCTGATGAATTTGGAGGCAGGTCTGCTTGGTTCAGTCTTACCTATAATTGATTACAGTGCTAGGTTACTGTTATGAATTGAATTGTTAATGATACAGTGTTGTTTCTTCCTTTGACATCGGTTTTGTGTGTCGCTCTTCAGTACATTTTTGGGTCAGTTTTGTGTGTCCAGTAGCAGCTGAATCTCTTCATAGTGTGAATGCTGCCTAAATAGTTAATTAATTGGTTGCTTATGCTTTCACATTAATGCTGTTCTTGTTTGTCAAATAGAAAAAGTGTAAGAAAACCAAACTGCAAGTATATGTATCCCATGTAAATCTCCATGTGTGATTTATTAGGAAAACTAAGACAACTTCTGCTTAGTACCAGAAAATTCAGTTTGGTATGTAAATGTAGGCATTGGCAATGTGTTTTCATCATCTGAGAGCCTGGTTAATGAAATTTTTTTTGTTGTTTCAGTCAAATGCTTCTGCTCCTGATGTGGATGACCCAGAGGCATTTCCAGCTCTGGCTTAACTGGATGCCGTGACAACCCTGGTTCCTCTGTGGACCCTCCTGTTCAAAGCTTTTGCATGCTTAAGGATCCCAAACGACTAAGAAATTTAAAACACAAACAAAAAAGACTGTCATTCATACCATTCACACCTAAAGACTGAATTTTATCTGTTTTGAAAATGAACTTCTCTCGCTACACAGAAGTAACAAATATGGTAGTCAGTTTTGTATTTAGAAATGTATTGGTAGCAGGGATGTTTTCATAATTTTCAGAGATTATGCATTCTTCATGAATACTTTTGTATTGCTGCTTGCAAATATGCATTTCCAAACTTGAAATATAGGTGTGAACAGTGTGTACCAGTTTAAAGCTTTCACTTCATTTGTGTTTTTTAATTAAGGATTTAGATGTTCCCTCAATTACAAACTGGTTTTAAATATTGGACATAATATTGGTTTTAATACCTGCTTTGCGTTTTCACACATGGTCAACTGGGACATGTAAACTTTGGTTTGTCAAATTTTATGCTGTGTGGAATACTAACTACTTTATGTATTTTAACTTAGTTTTAATATTCTCATTTTTGGGGGAAAATCTTTTTTCACGTCTCATGATAGCTGTTATATATGCTGTATCTTTATATACAGAAATACCAGTACTTGAACAAATTCAAAGCACATTGGTTTATTTAACCCTTGCTCTTGCATGGTTCATTAGGTTCAAATTATACCTAATTCACAATTTAAACTATAATTACTTATAAAAAAACATGTGACTTTCCCGTTTCAAAAACCAAACTAGACACTCTGTGATAGTTGTTTTAAGATACTTCTTATTGCTAGAAACATCCTGTCAAGTGAAGTAGTTCTATGGGTGTGGGCTCTTCCTTCCTTCCCCTTACCAGGGTAAGTGGAATAAGTTGAGTTGGCTGATATTTAAATTGTCCTATAAGTGTCTGGCCACTTGGTATGATTTGTGTGTGCGTGAAAGTTCCCAAATCAAAATAATCCATAATCAACAACCCTTCAGCCTTTCCTTGTTATGAAGAAACCAAAGGGTACTGGTTATTTTAGTCAGATGGGCGAGTATTTAAATTTTTGGAATCTGGAAAGCAGACAGTTTTACTTTGTAAGGTTGGAGCAGCAGCACCATCCCTGAAGTGTAACCCAGAAATCTTAGTGTTTCTCAATTTCCTAAATTGCTATTAATTGGTCTTCAGTTGATGGATGAATGTTCCACAAAAGTGGTGGTTTTCCCTCTTCCATTAGGAAGTTAGGTAAGTAATTTTTCCTAGAAAGGGAGTATCACTAAATTGTGGCTAGAATAAAGAACAAGTTTTTAGGGTTTTCAAAATATTCTGCCACATTTAAGGTATTGAGTGCTGGCACAAAAATTTCAATGCTTTTTCTACTTCTCTATGATAGTATGGAGATTCAATCTAAAACATCTGCCATTCAGCTGATTGATTGGTTCTGTTCTCACATAGTCTAAAACTGGTACCAGACAATAGTTGTTGATTGGTATTTGAGTCTACTTGTTTACCTAGTAGTTTGGCATCTTAGGAAGGAGGTACTTGTTTTTTAACGATGGATACGTTTGTGCTGGTGTTTTGGATCTTACGATGTTGAACACGTTCTGCACTGGTGCTAATGCCTAACATAGTTTTATATTTCATGCCTGCTACCCAGAGGCAAGTATTGACCCCTCTTGAAATTGCAACAGAAGACACTTCTGGATCAGTGTGTTTAGACTTCAGGTATCTAAACCATTTCCAAACCTGTGACATGTTTATAAACCATAAATCAACAACACTTTGAGATAACTGCTACTGAAGACTCCTCTGTCAGGAATTGTCACTAAGGAATACATAGCAATATCTGATATGTTGCAAGCTTTCAAGCTATCCTAAGCTTGGTAAAAGTTGGTCCATTAGTTGTGTCTGATGGATGTAAGTTTGCCTCTTAGTTAACTTTGTCAAGAGCTAAAACTGTGAACCTAACTTTCTCTTATTGGTGGGTAAAAATGAAATAAAGATTTATTTTCATGCTCACTTAAAAGCATAACAGAGAACAAATAGGAGCCCATTTATTGTCACGTGTTTTTATATTGGGAAAGTTGTATTGTAGAGATGAATTGTAAGGATTGGCCAGTGGGCATTTGAATGAATTTTAAAAAATTTTTAATAGTCAAATTTCGGTATGATACTTTAAAGAATCCCTTAATATATTAAGATCCCTAAAACACTGACATTTTCTCACCTTTTTAAAAATTTATATTTTTTAATGGAAACGGTGGTCAAGGTTGATGTTCTTTAAGGTGGTTTGCGTTATTAGCTGAATACTATTTTTAGACCTATGATTTAAGTTTGTCCCTAGGTATTAACAGGTTTTTTCCCCCCCATTTATTTATTTATTTGAAAGGCAGCGTTATTGGGGGTAGGGGGTTAGAGTTTCTAGTCTTCTGTTGGTTCCCTTTCCAAATGGCCATAGTGATGGGCGGGGGGCCAGGCAGACAAACTAGGATCCTAAAACTCCATCCAGTTGTCTGGTATGGATAGCTGGGGCTTAGATACTTGAGCCATCCTCTGCTTTAGGTGTATCAACAGGAGACTGAATAATCGCAAGTAGAGCAGGGGGAACTTGAGCTGATGCCCTTTTGGGATGCTGATGGTAGCTTAAACCCACTGTGTCCCCATGTCCTAATTCCTATACTCAAGCTTTTTTTTTTTTTCCAAGTAAATAACATCCCAGGGTGGTATAACATGCTTAAGACTTGCCTTTTGGCATGGGTTTGCAGGGAGACATGTAAGAATTCATTGTAATTATGTTTATGGTAGGCATGGCTGCATTGAAATAGTCTAAAGAAAGATACAGGGATTTAATTAAGTATGATACTTACTGTAGGAGTTGAAAAGTACAAACAGCACCAACCTTTTTTGAAAATTAAGACTACCAGAACCTGCTGTCTTCAGAGATGAAATTATGCAGATATATATGACATTTAGCCCATTTGCTAACTTGCACAGCAAATTTTATGCCTCAGGTGGATGCAGTTTGTGAAGAAGGAATAGGGTAACTCCTCAGTCGTAAAATCTGGCCCTGCCAAAAAGCAAGCACGAAATTCAAAGAATCTGTAACAGGCTAAATTTAAGCTGATAGTCATATGGGCTGTGAATGCTGTTACTGGTATCCAAATGGTTCTTGAGAGAAAAAGGATTTCCTACTCTTAATACTTTTGATTCTAACTGCAACATTTGCAATTATATTGAGGTTAAGCCTACTGCTTTTAGCAAAATAACATTTGCAAGAAGGAGTAGTTACACGGCTATGGCTAATACGGCAGTTTTTGGAAATTGGAATTGTTGCTGTCTGCCCAGCCATGACCTGGACTTAATTTCTGCCTTAAGTACACTTTGATTTTGACATTTAGACTTTCAAGTTCAAATTTGGAAGCTAAATGAAAAGCAATTAAAGATAGGTATTTCAAACAAAAATTCAATAGTATAAGGAAAGTAAGGTGATGACCTCAACATGAAAAGTTTAAGTTCACAAACTGGTAATAATACAAAGGAAAGGTCTTAGAACTATTGAATGCCAAATCTGAAAGTTCTAACACTGTGCGAAGTGCTGTAATAAAAGCAGGCTATCCCATGGCCTGTTTTTATGTCCCTAAGGATTCTGAAGAGCCAACTGTAAGGAACTAACCTTGAAGGAACATGAGTAGCTCACATCCCGAGACATTAGGCTCTTTCCTGAAAGTGTTGACTGATCCCTGCTCTATGCTGCTATTTTCTGGGTCAACATGGTAACCTTCAGAGTTTAGTTCTAGGTACAGATTTAAGTACTACAGAATGGAAGTTGTGAAATTATTTTAATACTAGCTTTCATAATTAGGGACAGGATTACAGTTAATATTTAGTATTTAACAATTGATGGCACTTTTCAGATTAGTGCTAGCTTGTTGAAAATTTGTACATTCTATATAGGAAAGAAAACGTTTTAATCTCATAATCTGACCTGGTGACCTCATAGTTAATACCCTCTTAAGTCATTTCCTAGAGCTTACAAATCCATTAGGCATGAGTAACTTTTGTGCTATTGAATACTAAGTAACTGGGAGTCCTTTGCTTTTAAGTGAAAGAGATAAATGCAAAATACTAAGTGTGGGTACTTTGTGTTAATCCAGTAATGTTTGTCCCGTTTTCTGTTTGGATGGGGAAGGTGTCAGAAGGTGTCGCAGTACTTACTGCACTTAAATGGTTACTTTGTACTTGGAAGATACCAGTTTGTATTAGGTCATCAGTTCTGATGAGGTGACCTTGTGGCTTAAGTTGTAATGACAGCAGTGTGAGAAAGAAGGGCTGCAACTCAGGAGTTTGATACTGTGTTACCAAGTAGAGGAAATGAGAGTGGTTTTTGGACAGGTGGAATGGTTTGTGCTAAACTTTGAAGAAATGACATTTCCAATTGCCCAGAGAGAGAAATCTAGAACTCAAGTTTACTTGAATTTTGACATCGGAATGTCCTGAGTTGTGTCACATGAAAGTTAAATATTCTAATTAGCCAAAGAGTGGTATCTGAGAAATAATTTTGTTTTGGGAACTTTGATGTTCAAATCCTTGATTAACACCTGGAGTATAAAAATATGCAAAGAAAGATTGCTGCATTTGGCAGCCACACTCTGATGCTGTTTAGACAAGCATGGGCGGTTTGTCTAGTGGCTCAGGCCACTAAGGCTGTTGCAGGAGTGAAAGCACTAAATACATTTGCAAAGATGGCTGGTTTGGTTTTTCCCTGTGGCTAGACATGTTTAGGCCTTCATGATTGGTGAACTAAATACTGATACAGCTTTTTGTTTGGAGATGACCGACTTACTTGTATGTTTTCCTTGGAAATTGCAGAATTTCTAGTGAAACATACACCATTAAAATCTTTACAGATAATGTGGTTTCAATTTGATTTTTTTTCCCATACATGCTTACCAAAGGTTTAAGCTTGGTAATGTCTGAATTGGGAACTTCCAAAGAATATACGGGAATCCTAGATTATTCACTAGTTATGGAAAAAAAGATAAGCCTTGCAGGTATGTTGTGTGCATGACACTGCTGTATTTTGTTCATAACAGTATGCCTTTGAAGACAGGCATGTAGTAGCTACCAACAAAATCCAGCAGTGTGCTGACAGTTGGACTGCCCCTTGCATCTGCAGCAAATGCCAGAGCTGAGGAAGTTCGTTGACTGAAGAGTAGTGCTTTGAGTACCATGTAATGTGAGAATAGCATAGCATCTAAGAAGTTCTCTTCAGGAGAAAAGAGTTTAATAATAGAGAAAATTGCCACTGAATTGTTGATGGAACAACGTAACGTTTCCCAGTTTGAGTGGGCACAGATGTTTCCTTTTCCAGAATCTGTCTTCTGCTATTTGAGGTTATTAGAAAGGAACCAGATATCTTTTTAAAAGGGAAGGTAACACTCTAATCTTGTAAGCAGGCCTAAAGTGGATGTAATTTTCAGAGTGATCTCTGCAGCCCCTGTGAAAGTTAAGCTGCTATAGACAGACCAGAAAACATGAACCACAGGGAGCTGTCTGAATGTTTACAGAAACTCCAAGGAACACACCCAAAGTGTAAATAGAAGTGGACAAGAAGGTGAACAAATATTTTATACAGCATTGTGAAAAGGCAAATGATTGTTTTTCTTTTACTCCCCTTTTTGGTGGAATAAATAAAGGAGGATTTCTGTTTCTGAATGAAACCTTGGGAAGTCCTATTTTTACCTTGAGAGTATGTAGAGCTCTCCTGCTGCTTGTTCAGGGCCACACACGCAAACATCCTCAGGTTTTGCAGTCCATGTATATGAACGTGCTGTGAATATGAATGCATGATAGCAAGTGAATTGGCTAAGGAACAGGTGTTTTTGTTACAAGTGTTTAGTTTTGCTTTATAGTTTCCAACAGCAAAAAATAGTATTTTTCCTTCTTGACATTCAGACCTTTTGATAATTTGCTTTCCAAGGATTTCAGTCACTTTTATTTCCTGGGTTCCTATTGCCTTTCGGTGTAAAAACAAGCTAAACTAGGAAAAACTAGGGTATTTTGAGCCAGCAACCACATGACTGCATGTAAGTGTGTGTGTAGAGAATGAAGTCTGACCTACTTTAGAATGGTGTACTTTGTTTTAAAAAAAAATGACCAGCAGGAATGTATGGGACCAATTACCACAGAATGAAGGGAAGACATTTTTGTTTGAACAACCTGATCATGTTGACTCAATTGCAGCTCTTTGCTTAAGAAACGGCCTTTGGGCCTGGCGCAGTGGCCTAGCAGCTGAAGTCCTCACCTTGAATGCGCCAGGATCTAATTCTGGCAGCCCCACTTCCCATCGGGCTCCCTGCTTGTGGCCTGGGACAGCAGTTGAGGATGGCCTTTGGATCATCTCAGCTTCAACCATTGCAGCAATTTAGGGAGTGAATCATTGAACAGATCATCTTCATATATCTGACTTTGCAATAAAATAAGCAAATCTTACACAAAAATGGCCTTTCTGTTAAGGAAAATGATCAGATAAGTTGGGTTAAGTTGGTTTAAGGATTTATTTATCTTAAGGATTTGTTTTGGAGAGGAGCAAAGTCAGGAAGATCTTATGTCTGCTGATTCACCCTGTAAGTGGCCACAAAGGCCAGAGCTGAGCTGATCTGAAGCCAGGAACCTCTTCCAGGTCTCCCACATGGGTGCAGGGTCCCAAGGCTTTTTGGGCCATCTTCAACTGCTTTCCCAGGTTACAAGCAGAGCTGGATGGGAAGTGGGACGGCCAGGATTAGAACTGCTCATATGGAATCCTGGCGCGTGCAAGGCAAGTTCTTTAGCCACTAGACTACTGTCCCGGGTCCCAGACTTATTCCTGTTGGAAGGGCAGATTAACAGGAGAGACGGATCGCCCATCTGCTGGCCCATTTCCCCGCAAGTGGCTGCATTGGTTGGAACTGAGCTGATCCTAAGCCAGGAACTGCTTCTGGGTCTTCCATATGTGTGCAGGATGCCAAGACTGTGGGCCATCGTCTGTCT